TTGGTTTTTGAGACAGGGTCTCACTATGTAGTTGAGACTGACCTGGAACTCACTATGTAGCCCAGGCTGGTCTCAAACTCACAGCCATCCTCCTGCCTCAGCCTCCCGAGTGCTGGGATTACAGGCGTGTGCCACCATGCCCTGCTGCCTTTATTTCTTTACATATGCCCACAATCACTATGGAGATGGTATTACCACCGCAATACCCTGCTATTCTCACATAAATGCCACTATCCTTTGGTCACTGCCTCTCCATTTTTTATCAAGGTTGAAATTGTAGCATCTCAATGAATTGGTAGAAATTGCATGGCACTGCCCAAAGTGGGTTCACTCTAACATACTCAGAGAAAGACCTTTAAAAGAGAGTCAGAGGTCAGATGTGAATAAAAGGGCTTTCCTGGGTAGAAGACACACTGGCCCTTAACTTGAACTGTTTGTGTGACATCCAAGATATGACCTAGATGGTTCCACATCAAGAGAACAGTTGGCTCTGTGAATTCTGGGAATGAAATATTTTGAACATGACCTAAATTTTACTCACTTCTTTCTCTTTTAGACTTGATTGCCCATTTACATCATCGGATTCCAGGTAGGGAGACAATGTCTCTTTGTCAGCCTCTCCAATGATTCCTGAAAATTACATGGTCCTGCCATTTAACCCCTTATGATACCCTTTATGTGAAAGCCTCTCCTGGGACTCAGGAGGTATCTGATGACGTAATTGAGAGAGCGACCCGAGGTTTTCTAATACCCTGCCAGAAAAGATACTATTCACTGTTGCAACTAGTGTCAGCAATTGTGTGTTTGTACTTTCTCTTCATTTGTAATGAGTTTTCTTTTCAACGGGAAAATGAATCATGGGTTTATAGAGTTGAATGTGACGCTCTGATGTCTGCTGACATTATTGAGTGATTAAATCAAAGTTATTGAAAGAGTTACCTCTTTGCATCTTTTCCAAATTTTGTTTTGTGGCGAGAATGGAAGCCATCTCAGTGTTGCTTGTTATCCTAAGAATGGTAGGGTATGGTGTGGTTTAGCTGCAGGTATAGGTTAGTATTTAAAAATGATCCTTCTCCCCGCTGCATGAAGAAATAGAGGAGGGGACACACAGAGAAAAACTGTAGCTGTAGATGAGGTAGATGGTTGCAAATAATGTAGAGAGGAGTGGAGAGCTTGGAGAGATATTCAGGATCTAGTTTTGGCAGAATGAGAGATTTACTTTTCTAGGAGTCGTGGGGACAAGAGACAGGGGGACAAACTCCAGAGTTAGGGCTTAGGAAAGTCGGGTCTGTCGGGGATAGAGGTCCCATAGCAGAAGGAAATTAGCAACTCCAGCTTGCAGGCAGCTCTGAGTTGAAATAAGTAAATATAAAACATTCACTTACATCTCCTCCCGCATACAGGAAAGTTAGTGTAGCGAGGCCAGCTGCGTATGGCTGCGAGATGGTGCGAGAGCTGTCAGTCTGGATCACCGAGCTGAACATTTGAATCTCTAGTCTCTGCGTGAGTGGCCCTGCATTCTCCGTGTCTCCTCTCTTCTAGGTTTTCTTGTTCGACCCTGCGTCTTTCCATTTACCTACGATGATGCACTTTACTACAATTGCATCTCCGTTCACAGTGACTTTGCCTGGTGTTCTTTTGACCCTAAATTCCAAGGCAGGTGGCGCTACTGCACTGCGGCGGGTGAGTGTGCTACCGCGAGGCGCCTTAGATGCCCTGGTCCTGAGAGGCAGATGATAGCTGCTGGCTGTATGATTCTTGGTATCGTCAAGACCTACATTCATACGCTTTCTACATAATTTTTACAGTTTTGAAACGTATCCTGTTGAACATCCACAATATGTTGTAAGTTCGGTAGCGATGGCTCTGAGGACAGTAATACCTCCCACCCACCCTTTCTCTGTAGATCCTCCGAAATGTACCTTTCCATTCTACTTCAGAGGAGAAGTGTTTCACAAATGCACCAAGAAGGGCTATGTTTTGGATCGCAGCTGGTGTTCGTTGTCAGCCAATTACAACAAAGATAGAAAATGGAAGCAGTGCTCTCCTCTGAAGTAAGACGATGTGGGGAGATGGGGCGGGGTGTGTGGCAGGTGATCAGGAAGGGAAACGCGGGACTGATGCTGCGGGGAACATGGGGCCCGCCTGTGCGGTGATGACTCAGCTCAGCTGTCCGCGAGCCTTTCTTGGGAAGGACCTGAGGTTACATGGTTTCGGCTGAGCGACTCCTGAGTCCTTTCCCAGATATTAAGTTCTGGCTTTGCAACACAAGAGCAGCCACCAGCAACACACGGAAGACTGTATGTGGCTGTGCTTCAGTATAATATTTTATGGATCATGAAATTGCATGCTTATCTAACTTTGAGGTGGCACACAACTATTACTTGCCTTTTTAGAAGTGGATGCTGTCAATCATTTGAAAATGAGAACGCCGTTAGCTCACAGATCATAAAGAAAGAGGTGGCAGGTTGGATCTGGCCTCTGAGCTCTAGCTGGCAGGTGCCCGGTTTGGGTAATGTGTCCCTGACCCCAGGCTCATGAACAAATGAATTCGTTTCTTCTGAAAATAAGTTGAAAGCAGGGAAAGGATGGTCTGCTCTGGTCTTACCCCATACCATGAAGATAACGCTGGTTCGGTGCCAGACCATGGCAATAAATCTTCCAGGGAAAGGAGTCACTAGAATTTTTAGTTTCCCAGTGCTCATAAAAGTTATATTTTTACTATTCTGTTCTGTGTGTAATAGCATTGTGTCTAAAAGTATACCGATTTTAATTTAAAATACTGTACTGCTGAGGAAAAATGCCCACAATCGTGTGAGCTCTTGGGAAAATGATGTTAATAGACTTTCTCAACCAAGGAAACACCCAAACCCTTAATTTGTAATGAAACTTCTCTCAAGCACAGTACAGCCAAATACAATAAAACCAGGAATACGCAGATATAGAAAGGACTTCCCTGAGTGCTCAGTATACACTAGACACCGTGCTGGATACGTCTTGTACAACGTGCCATTTCACCTCCGTAATCGACCTCAAAATGTGATGTTGAAAATGATCACGGTAGTGTACAAATGTGGAAAGTAAGCCTTAGGAGGTTCGGGCTACACCCAATCTCTGTGTCAAACACCACTGACCCAGGCGCTCATCAGACAGATACGGCTTACTAACAGGCATCATTAGATGGCCCCGTCTCACGTGCTGTGCTATGGACTTTTACTCTGCATTTCTGTCTCCGTCCAAGCTACTATTCTATACGTGTGGAAACAGATGATGAGAGTCTCAGCATCCTGGCCAGGCAGACCGAACAGGAGGCACCCTGAGCATGATTCAGACTCAGCAGCGGCTAATGTCAGTGTTCACGGCCAACCCACAGGACTGTGCATTTGTCAGAACTTAGAGAACCATTTGCTTGGAAACTACTCTGGAGTCCTACCTCACGGTGTCGGGGACGCAGAGAGGAGGGCTTCTGTGGGGCACGTCACTGGAGAGTCCAGACTGAGGCACTGCTGTTTCTTCTGTGTGTGGCGACTCTGGGAAGTAGTTGCATTCATCCTTCTTGTTGGGTCACAAGCAAAGGCCCAGAGCTATTTGGGTTTCACGGAGCAGCTGCTTTGTTTTATACACTGAAAGGGAACTAGGTTCCTCCTTCAACTAGCTTTGTTGAGCTTTTAACCTTTTCTAGAGCTCATCCGATATAGACACCAGTGGACTAAGCTGAAGGTTCTTTTCTTGACGTTTCAGGGAGATTCTCCAGTTTTCATACTCAGTATTGGCTGCCTATTACTGACATGAAGCTATTTATTACCTCAGAGCAGGGTGACACTGGCTTGGCAATACCGATAGGTCTATTGAATTCCTGTTTTCCAGGGACTTCTCTAGTCCCCTAAGCTTCATGCATACAACTCCCCAGGACACCGTCCCAAGCAACTGCAGCGAGTTTTAACACGGGGACCATCCCGCGGTGCCGCGGCTGCCTGCTTTTCTCCTGCCCCCTGAGGTGTTCTCATTTCTGTCACAGTTGAGAGAGAGACACTTCCCGATACTGTCACAGGCGGTGGGCACTTTCAGAAACATGTCTCATCGCTTCCTCCTTTTTTCCTTTTGTTGGCTGCAAGGTTCAAAAAAGAACTGAAACCGCTCATCAAAATAATCAGACGAACAAGCACAAAATTAATAGGTTGGAAATCAAAGAAAAGTGAGGGTCATGTAGCAAGAGGGCAAATTAACAGCATCCAGGCTGTTAGCTGAGGCTGTGGTATTAGAGCAGAACTTCCCAAGGGCCGAGTAGACAGGCATCCCTTGTTAGATCTACTGATGGCACCATCAATAATTTTGCAAACTAATATCATGAAAATACTTCCAGAGGGGTTAACCATTCCCCTTCATCATGAATGCTCAATTTTCTGTGTGAAAATAGCTTTCTTTCCATTCTACCATTGTGTTTCCTTTCGCCATACCACACAGTGGCCCAAAAGGAGAACCCTTAGAGCCAAAATACTAACTGTGCTTCACCTCTCTGAGCCTGCTTTATCTATGATATAAATATTTTGTCTATTTCATATTTTATCCTACTCAGAGTAGTGCCTGGTACAGAGTCAGAAAAATCTTTTCTTTTTCCTCCCTCCCTTTGCTGTTCTTTTCTTTTGTCCTCTCCCTTCCTTCGCTCACACCTTTTTTTTTTTCTTCAGAAAAAGAGATTGAAAATGAGTCAGTGACATTGAGTACATCGTGGACACAGCAAAGATCCTCACCTCATGGCGGGCGGGAAGCACCGGGTAGGGGGCGGGGCCTGGAAGGGTGGATTCTCTTCCCCAGGTCCTCCCTTCTCTCGCTGCGGACGTGATGTGAGTAGTTTTCCTCCATCAGACCCTTCCATCGTGTTTTCTCTGTGGAGGAGACAGCTTGCCCATGATCTGAAGGCACTGAAATCATGAGCCAAAATAAACCTCTCCTCAATTAAGATGCTGGCATCAGGCATTTTATCTTAGCACTGGGAAAGCTGATTAATACACTGCCCCTTGGCCAAGAACATCTTTCTTAGCACTGGAGGAGGCAGAGACGTAGGAAAAATAAAGGTACCATTTGTACTTGTTTCAGTGTGGTTGTTCCTGGTGTCGTGGCAGCCAGGCTGTTTTCATTCTGTACTTGATTCTAGGTTTCTCACGGAGGTATTATGGTCCACGGATGGTGGTTAAATTTGTGTTTCTATGGAGAGAATAAATATCAGACTTGACAGTTGCGTATGTATTACATCATTAGCAAGTTTTGAAATTTCTCTCGTATCTTTATATGCTGTTTCATATTTGTAATAGTGTGAACATTACTTTTATTTTTCAATATTTGCTTTGCCCAATCAGTACAGGAATAAAAGCTCCCTTAAACATGAAAGCAGCGCATATCTGGAAGAAAGAAATGTTAGTTTCTCTTCCCATTTCCCTGCTTTTCTCTCTCTTTCCTCTTACAGAAGAAAGCACAGCTAACCATTTCCGTGTAGATTCCTGGGTTTTTTTATGCATTTACATGTATACAAATATATTTAAGGCGACTAAAAACATAAATGAATCGCATTCGCTCCTTTGACCTGATTATTACTTGCATGTGTACATTATGAGATTTGCCGTGTGAATGCTTAAGGGCACTTCAACTTTTAGCAGTGCTTTCACCAAATTCCGTAATATACCACTTCCCAACTGAAGCATAATCTGATTGTTTTAAATATTTTATATTCGTATGAATGTCCAGACTGACCTTTGAGAAATTGTGTGGGGTTTTTTTTTAGCTTTATTTTCATTGGAATAGCCGCATAAAGTCATAATTAGGTCAAAGGATATACACATGCTGTGCATGCGTGCTTATGTGTTACCTTTTACGTTATTCCACGTTATTTTCATTAACATTGTAACACTGCTCACGATCAAGAGAGTGAGTCTTGTTCACATAATGGGCCATGTAGTTTATGAGACATTTAAAATAATAAGGTATATTTAACTTGAGAGTGAGACAAAAGTGCTGCACCCTTCTTAGGCCACTGATCTCTTAGGGTAATCTACCATTTTGTTGTGTGGTTTCATACTTATCAGTCATTTGGGTTGGCCAAGATCTCCCACGGGCAGAAAATCAAAGATGATTTCTCCGAGAGGAAGACAGATGTGACCTTGATCCTTGGGAGGTGAGAAAGATTGTGATTCCAATCTCTCTGTTTTTCCTCCACAGTACTTAGAAAACCCATGATGTTTTGAAAGAAGAAGAAGAAGAAGTTACAGACTCATTAACTGCCTCTCTAAATAGAACCTCATTCTTTCAGGCCTGACTGATCTGATCAATAAATGTTTGATCTCTGTTTTATGTGGATGATTCTGTTTTCTGAGTACAGGCTCAGCCAGTGCTCAGTGGTGATGAATACACGGCTGACTTTACTGGGGTGGGAAACCAGGAGGGTTTCTGTAGGGAAGACCTTACCTTGAAACCAAGATCCTGAAGAACTGCTCGTAATATCTCCTTGGCAAGTTAGCTAAATTCTTACAGAACTTCAATCTTTACCTTGTATAATTTTAAGTTTTAAAAATTGAGACAGAATATATGTTTTAATTTTTGAAGCAAAATTCACAAGAGATACAATTAATCATCTTAGATTGAAGAATTCAGTGGCATTTAATAACAGTCATAATTGTGCAACCATCACTCCTACCGAATTTCAAGACATTTTCACCACCCTGAAAGGTTACTGTCTATATATATTCAGTCTCTCTCCTCATCCTTTCATTTATCTAGCCCTCAGTAATCATAAAAATGCTTTCAATCTGCATAGATTTCTCAACTTTTCGTTTTTCATGTAAATGGAACCATTCGGTATGTGACCTTTAGTGCCTGGTTTCTTCCACTCAATCTAATGTTTTTGAGATTCATTCATATTGAGGCCTGTGTCAGGGTTTTGCTTCTCTTTATGATTGAGTAATGCACCATTGTGTAGATATGCAACATGTACCTTATACATTAAAATATGTATTTTAACAAGCGTGCATGAGTTGGGCAGAGGTAGGTCAATTTTGATAAATTAAACACTCCACACACACACAAAAAAAAACCAACACTCCAGGTAATTGACAACATTGGATAAAGTACAACAGAGACACTGAGAACAGAGGATACAGAAGGAGAGAAAAGGGTTATAAAAGGGCGTGTGTTCACTATAAGGAGTATGATTATCTTTTCAGCTCATCAAAACTCAGCAGCGGGAAGTTTTTCTTCTAACCTACGAACATCTAGCTAAGAATATAATCAAAGCATACTTCACTGAATGTTTGCAGGCAGAAAATGTGGTATGTTGTTATCTTTATGAATCCTGGGGTATGATACATGCAGTATAGTCATTTCCCGGACTCCTCAATGCATCATTAACAAGTATACATAATTAACAAGCACATTTTGCATTTTGCATACATTTATCACGCAGCAATCCACGTATTCGGCAGACCCGTTCTCATTTATTTGGTGACAAGTCGCTCTCATACACGTTAAGAGCAATAGGAGGATGTGCGGGGCAACTGATTCCACCTCAAAGCAGGATGGCAGAGAGAGCTTGGGAAAGGCCATGCCTAGGCGCTGGTAATCATCCTGAAGAGCTACTGACGCAGAGTGCCCCTCAGTAGGCCTTTCTTCTTACAGATTTTCCCACTCCTTAATGTTGTTCTCTCATGCACCAAGCCTGCAACACTTGGGCCATGGGGGAATCCCTGTTACCTTGTGAAAAGCGTAGCATTCTCCTCTTGATACCCAAGGATTTATGTGTATTTCATAACCCATTAGAAATGGATTTCAGATGGAATCATTGCATCCCAAAGGGTGAGGTCTTAACCGACCAGCATTGCTGCAAAGTTCGTGTCCAGACTCTCAGTCGAAACTCGCAGCTCCAGCTGTGCTCCTCTCTTGTAGCTTTCAGAGTCTTCTGGAAGCCAGCCGGAGGCTCACCTGGTTAGGTTAGTTGCAACAGCAACAGGAGCAGAGTGACCCGATTCCTCCCCCAGTAGCGGAGAAGGGCTCACAATGTGGAGGTGCCAGAAAAGCAGATGCCCCTAGGTAATGCTATCTTCTCCATCTCCTGTGGAACTCGGGAGAGAAGAATGCCAAAGTGCTGCTGTGGAAAGAAAAATAAGGGAAGTCTTTATAAAGATTAGTTAGAAGAATCAGTGATTTGATGCAAACATCAGGAGTGCACTTACAAACGTATTTAAATGTGATGCTCAACCAGAGTTTTGCAAACTGCACCACATGTGCCATACTCTGACTCATGCCTTCTGTCGATAAAGTTTTATTGAGCCCAAGTCATGCACATATTTGAAACTCAGAAGTGATGCCAGAATGGTTTAAGACTTCAAGGCTCTTGGCAGAAATGCATATAATGTAATTTCTGCGGTAGAGAGATAGGGGGTGCCCGGCTCTGTTGCAAGAACCAGGGTTCAGGCTAGAGTCATTTGTTACCTGAGTCTAATGATCACATCTCTTGGTGCCTAGATTCTTGAAGATTGTTGACTACATGGGGCAAGTTCAGCTCACACTGTGAGAGGGCTGTGAACTGGTCAGCATAGCAGTGTTCACTGATAACTGAAGATTGCATTACTGCTGTATTATATTTGAATAGTTCGTTTCTCCAAATGCATGCTGGAATTTAACTCCCAAAGCTTATTAGAGCATATTTTCAGTACATGATAATCATACTTGCTTTAGGAAATTGCTGGAGAACTACTCCAAAAGTATTCTGAGGCCAAAATGGGGTAAATCATTTCATGGTATTTATATGGTGGGAAAGTACTTGACTGTGAGGTTTGGAGGTATGCTGTTTGGGAAGGGATTTTTATTTTTTTAGATTAAGAAATGGGAATCAATTCTTATGATTATCTCCAGTGGTATGATATGGAGAGAGAAATTGTTGCAGAAATATATATATCCACTCCTGCCCTAAAAGATGCAATGCAGAGATTCCTTCACCAGAACCTGTGCCATGATCTTTGAACCTTGTACGTCCAGATGTCTAAGCCAATGTAAGCATCATTTTTTAAATCAACATGTTGCATCAAGGACTCATGTGGGGGGGTGTCTGTAATCCCAGCACTTGGAAGGCTGAGGCAGGAGGATCACCAGGGGGGTCTGGCCCGCCTGGGCTACATAGTGCATTCAAGGCCAGTGTGAACTACCTAGAAAGACCTTGTCTCAAAAGCAAACAAACAGAACAAAACAAAAGATATTGCCTCAGATATTTCAAGGTAGTAAGGATAAACTGAACAATGACTCTGGATAAGCAAGAAAGGCATCTGTGCGTGAATTTTAAAGGGTATTGGTATGGTGGTATGGTTTACCACAATGATGCGGAACCTTTTAGAGCTTTCAGTGATAACGAACAGCCTGCTGTAGTATGTGTGCCACGGGTTCAACACTACTGCTGTATAAGAAAAGTCTTCTTCACTCACTACTACTCATCTGACATTTCTAGATTCTTAATGGCTTCCAAAATGCAATTTACATCTTCTCTGGCAAGTGTCAAAATCAAATACAGTAATACCTAGGTTCATTAATATTTCTGTTTGCAGCCAGTTTGGTTTGCAAACCAAAAATGTTTGGCAGAATTTTGTTTTAGTTCACAAACTCCACATCGAGTCATAAACAAGACTATGGCCATTTTCACCAACCAAATTCCTGCCATCTTCATCCAAGTAAGAACAACGACAAAATTAAGTTCACAAGTCAAGGATCCATTGTACAGTTTTGCCTTATGGGAAGGAGTGCGCTCTCTCTCTCTCTCTCTCTCCTCTCTGTCCATGTCTTGGTTTCTATAATATGTGTTCACTGTGACTGTATTACTAAGAGTAACCTAAAGCAAGGCAAGAAAGAGTTCTGAGGTGTTGAGTTTGGTTTAGTGCCCCTTACAAGAGCCAAACACCATGTTGATGAAGACACCACTAATGAGTAAATTGCATTAACATTGGTGAAAAGTAATACTGGGTCCATTTATTGAACTGGAGCTCAATGGATAAATACTAATTTTGAAAGATGCATCCAGTCCTGACCAAGCAACAAGTACCACCCTAATACAAGGAGTCTAACACGAACTACTCAAAGAACTTAAATTTTAACGAAAAGACAAAAGGAACCAACATAAAAAGACAAAACACAATGCCTGTTGGCTATGTGTATTGTGCCATTTGAAAAGGGGGAAATGAGTTAGAGATGTGAACTTGCGCTCCTTGGTACAGCATTGAAAAGATGTTGCATAATATAGGAACATATTATTGAGACCAAGTTGAAGATCCTCGTCAAGATATTGAGACTTTTCGAAACATGGCATGAAGGAAGGTGCTGAGGATGAAGTGGAGGGGAATGAAAAAGAGAGGTACTGGTGAAAAGTCGTGGCCGTGTCTGCTGTTGTATGAAGGGTAATTTATTGAACAAGTCATATAGACACTAAGCATCCCAGTTTACATTAGTGGGAAAAGTGAGCCTTAAAGCGAAATCCTTTCAGCAAGGTATCTGGGGGTTTGTAGGAAAATTAAAGTGGAGAAAACCCCGACTGCAGAATTCATCCGTCAGGCAGTAACATTTTCCCTCCTGGGGCAGTGACTAACACCAATGCACAGGAACTGAGGGATCTGTCACTAGTTCTCCCTCCCCCACGCACGCACCCTACTCTCGGCGCTCAGGAGAATCTGTTGCCTGGGGTGCTTTTGACCTCACGGACCTGCCGTCCCCACACGAACTGCTTCCTTCTTTGCTGATGGATTGCCAGGTGCAGTCCTGCCCCGGGGTAGGCATCTCACTGAGTTTGGGGAGCCCTTCCCTACTCCTGGGCAGCATCAGCCATCAAGGAGAGCCGTGAGGCTTCCCAGGTAACTCTGGTGATCTCTGGTTAGCTCCACTTTCGCCTGTACAGTTCTTTTGGAATTTCTGACTAAGTCAATTTTTGTCTCACCAGCATCCTGGACTGCAGTGGCCCCAAAAGCAGCTACAAAAGACTTGCAATATTCAGGTACCTGCAAGGGGGCAGACAGCAGGCTGGCTGAGATCCTGAACATAAAATATTCATCCCAATTATTTCAGAGTGAATCTTTCGTACACATTCAAGTTGCAAAATTGAAACTTCTAATTATGAAACCACAACACCCTCCTTACTTCTCCCTCCAGCTCCCGGAATTGTTACTCTGCTTTCTGTGTCTGTGATTGTGGCTGCATAGGTTTTTCACCTAAATGGAATCGGAGTAACTGTCCTTTTGTAGTTGACTTGTCTCACTTGTAGTTAGGGGTACACGCTGCTATGAAAGTACTGGATAAATGTCAGACAGCACTTCGTGAAGAGGCCAACGAGGGAATTATCAAATTCACTTGTGGATGTATAGCTTATGAAAATTCTTCTATGTTTATTTTATTCCTTCCAAAGTGGTGCTTCAAATAGAGATAAATTGTTGAAGGAAAAATCCCATGTCATTCTCAGGAAGACGAGTAAATAAATCGTGTCGTACATTTCAATCCAATGCTGAACTGGTCTCCGTGTGTCAACGGGGACGACGTCCACATATAAAGCACTGAATAGAACTCTAAGTAGGTGAATGCATTGCATCGTGTGCCATTTTTATCAGTTTCAAAGACTTCCACAGATACCACTTATTATTGTTTATACTCAAACGCCACAGAAAATACATCAGAAGCTATTTTCCTACAGGTTAGAATAATATATATTCATTATATACACGTAATATAAAAAAGAACCTTAATTACATCTAGGATTTTATTTCTGCTTGCAAACACTGAAAAAGTTAGCAATATTATTTCTGTGGCATCCTGTGTATCTGAGACATCACAAACAATTTTTAAACCAGTGATTCCATTAAATGAATAGGATATTCTGGTAACTAAACAAGCAAGTGGGCAAAGATCTTAAAATGGTATCATTTAAAGCTCAGGGATAAAATAATAGGTTTTATGCCATGACTCCTGTCCTGATTTATGCACGTGTACAAGTAAAGGGGAACAAATATCCATATCCACTCGACATCCATAATTGGGGGGCACTGTTCCCATGGGAACAGCCCTGGTGGGACACCTGACATCCTCTCCTGACGTACTCTGTCCAAGGCTTCCTCCTGGGCTGCAGGGAAGTGACCCTTCCAATCCCCAGAGATCCCCGGAGAACAGAATAGAGACGCTTAGCTGCAGTGATGGGCATCCAGAACGCGGCACCCTCCCCTCCCACTGCCCTTCCTCCTGATAGGGACCCTGTAGAGTAGAATCACCGATGGCTGCCTCAGGCCATTGTAACCATATCCGCCTGCCCTTCCGCCTTCGTGGAAATAACTTTCTTCCTCCCCTTCGCTCCCAGAGCAACATGGACACAGCTCATCTGCAGCACCGCTGGCTGTATCTCTGCCACATTTGTAATCCAGCTACTTTTTTACCATATTGGTCACTACCCGCTTCTCCCAAGACAACAGCACTTCTTAGGGGACTACGGAGAAATATTTGAACTGATTCATCTCCTTTTCCTAGTTCTATTGAGAAGTCCTTAGCATTGTAGCCTTATTCACCCTTCCCCTGGATCAACGGGACCCAGACACTTGGAGCTCAGTTTCCCACAACTTCCAGTTTTACCTGGCCAAAGTGCTCACTCAAGACACACGGGCGCCGGTGGTCCCGTCCCTTGCTGTTCCTGTTTTCCTCTCTCAGACTGTACATTCACTTTCTCTCCTTCATTACCCTGGATCCTGACTCAGCCTGAGACGTGCCAGGCTCCCTTATACAACGCAGTGAAGAAAAATGAAAGTTAACAGATACACTTCACTATCTGCATTTAAAGTCATAAAACTTACTTATTATTTAGGCGACACAATGCAAAGTAAGAAAATAAGCAGCCTTACCTGCTTGTAGATTTTTTACCTTCTATAAAAATTGACACAATTTGGGGTGATTTTTATATTTTATTGTAGTGTAGTATTTATGGATATTTTAAAGAATTTCTCAAGTATAGATACTGTAAAATGAATAGGGTAAACAGGTAATTTGTAGGCCATCAAAAACGTAAAGATTTGATCATTGGAGACTTCACAATGAGGTGATAGGTTTGATGCTATGACCTCCCAGGCATGCAGAAGTACAAGGTCAGGAAAGCAGGTATCAGCATCCACAGAACTTCTGGAAATGTTCAACGTTATTCCCATGGGAACAGCTTTGGAGGAAATCCTGCCATGTTCTGCTGATATACTTCATCAAACACTTCAGCTTGGGCTACAGTGAAGTGATTCTTCCAGTCCCCAGTGACTCCTGGAAGAGAGAACACAGACACTTAGATCAGAGCTAGTGATGGGGCTGAGGACTTCAGCACATCTCTTCGATCACGTCCTGCAAATCCACCCGACACACAGGCAGTCACTGGCATAGCTGAAGGACCCCTGAGAACCAACGGCCACTGACAGCCTTTCCGTGCCTGGGTGTCTGCATGTACACTTCTACCTCAGCAGAAGCAGTTCCTCTCCTCCAACTCTCTCCCGGCCCGTCCTGTATAATAGAGTCCATCACCCACAAGCCCGGCTCTGTCATCTGACACAATTAGAATCTCTCCCTTCTCGCTGTGTCTGTTTCTCCTGGCTCACACCGAGTCGACAGCACTTGTTATGAGGGTTCACATGAAAGATCATACTGCAACGCGCAGTGTTTCTGTGCAGGTGTCTCAGTGAATATGGATGATTCCTAAGTCCGCACGTCTTGTAGATGTAAATTTCATTTTACATTTCTACATGACTCTTAAGAAATCTTTGTAAAAAAAAAATTTTTTTTTTTGCTAGACCTGACATAAAAAACTGGGTGGGTGATTTCAGAAATATAATTAATTTTTTTCACAGTTCTGGAGGCTGGAAATCTTCACTTGTGGTGTTGGGAGTGCTGGGCTCTTAGGAGGGTGCTGGGGAAGAACGTGTTGTAGTTCTCTCTCCTTGGCTGGAAGTTGGCCGTCTTGCTCCATTTCTTCACACTGTCTTTCCTCTGTGGCTGTGTCCTAAATTCCGCTTTTAAAATCATCATTCATGTTTGGCTATGACCAACTATTATAATATCATTTTACCCTAATTGCCTCTGTGAAACCTTTTGTTCAAATACTCTTACATTCAGAGATCCTAAAAACTTCAAACTCCATGTCAGCTCTTGAGTGCAGACGATTCAACCCATTTATCTTGGTTATGAAGAAATCATTTTAAAGTTATGTCCGATACTTTTGCTATAATGGCAGAGACTGGACAAATCCAACATTCTAGGTTTGTAGTTGTCTCTTAATATAGAAGTCTTCATGATCCAGTGGCATCTAGTTTTCAACAAAGTTTATGAGATCTTGTGTCAGAATTAAGAGATTTACCACTCTGCCTTTAACAGCTTCCACATTGTAACTAATTAGCTGATGAATTGCTACCACATGTTGATTACTATGCTTTAAGCATAGTAATTTAATAATGGATATATTATCTGTCATTAACTCTTCTCTGTCCAGTCAACAACTACTACAGTCATAGAATTCTTATTCTGTGCCCAGCACTAACCTCTAGAATAAAAACGGACACACGTAATAATAATAATTGACTAAACAAGAAATAACTGTTGCAATGCTTTTTAAGCGTCCTCTAAAGCAAAGTTAAAGGCTTTATTATTTAACCTCGGTGCTACTGAGAGGCGGTGACAAATTTAAGTGCACATCCTTCTGAGAAGATCTCAGGTCTCGGGCGCGTGCCCTTCAAGGGGATTTTCGTAATCTTTCTCTTCCCCCACTCTGTCTTTCTCTCCCTTTCCCTCTCCCTCTTCTTCTGCCTCTTCCTCTCTCCTTTCCCAATGACTAACGTCCAGGCCCCTCAGTCACATACAGTTTTTTTCTCTTTGAAAGCGTGTGTTTCGGGAAGTGTGTTGTAGTCATGCAAATTTGACTCACACAATTATTATGCCTTCACCTTAAAACCAGTTTCAACTCCACGGATTGAATGCTTTCCATAGCTATGACTCTGCTAAGGGCAATTAGTACAGGCATTATCCAAGGGGAGATAAAGGCATTTTTCTTGCAATCTAATAGGAAAACAGCCTCTAATATTATGAAAACAAACCATCAGATTAAGCCTTTGTAAAGCCAGTCAATATTTCACACAGATTTTCTGCATATTATGATTTAAATAATAATCTTTTTTTTCTTTTTGGTACCAGGGATCAAACTCAGGACCTTGCGCTTGCTAGGCAGGTGGCAGAATTACTGAGCTAAATTCCCAATCAATAATTATCTTTTAATAACTCCTCCTCCTCCTCCTCCTCTTCTTTCTCTTCCTCTTCTTTTGTACAAGGGATCAAACTTGGGACCTTGCCCTTGTAAGGCAGGCATGGGGACCACTGAGCTAAACCCCTGGACCCTTAGGCAATATCTTGGAACCGCGGATGAGTCATGACCCTGTGGGGGGACAACAGGCCACAAGAGGGCGTGGCAGAGCAGGGCCTGCCCGAGAAGAGGACCTGTCTTCTTCCCCATTCATGCCCATAAAATCATCAAAGCATGACGTTCTTCTTGTGTTACATAGCCGCTGCTTTTGCCTCCCTGCACTTCCTTTATCTCTCCACTGTCAATAAACGTGCTGCGGTTGCCAGCCAGATCTTTTCTCCCACCAGGAAGAAGGCTCCACCTGGCCCCAGCATTGTGTCTCTTTGTTCTTTAGCATCTCTTTGTTTTATCTAAATACCCCTCTGTGATTCTCACTGCATGGATCCTTCAGCCATGCAGGCCATGGCAATTCTGCACCAGCTACAAAACTCTAAAAGAAGACGTGTTATTTGCTTCAAAAATACAGCAGTCAACAAACATAGGAGAGATGTTCACAAGACTCGAGAGAGAAATGTGAACATAGTCAGGGCCCATAGTCTCTAAGCACTCAAAGATCTAGCCTGCAAATTGCTTTAGAGACCAAGTCTGAAGAAAACTCTTCATCTCACTCTGCTGCACCTCCGGCCCACTGGGTGGCAGCACTGCAGAATGGGTCAAGAGTTCTGGGAGCATCTCGGAAGGTACTCTGTCGCTTACTGTCCCAGAGGTACTTAAACTGGACGATGGTTGGCGAATTAGCATCACAGTTGAAGAGAGTCACGCGTGAAGATGTGACCTTGGGGACCATACCCTGCCTGTCACACCTTCCTCTGATTTGGCATCTGCTTCTTGACTGCCACGAAGTGAGCAAAGTTTTCTTTCCATGTCACCATGCTGTCATTTTTCTGCTTGAGTAGAGGCTGAAAAGCAGCAGACCGTGAACTGATACATCTGAAATCATTTGCCAAAAGAAGTCTTTCTGATTGTTTAAATTGTTTTCTAGTGCGTGTCACAGAGAAAAAAAGGAATTAAAGGTCATATGTTTGAACATGTAGTTCTTCACACTCTGTCTTATGCAGAGGAAAGTCGTCCACGTACCCTGACAGAACTTGAAAGCAGAGCCTTTCTTCTTACCTTTTCTTTGAAGTGAAAAACCCTCATTTAGAAACATATCAGGCAATGTGCTGAAATTGGACATCTTGTTTTCTTTCATGAATTCAAAGGAGCTGTACTTGAGGACTAGATCTATTTCTTCTGGTTTTAACTCCTTTCCCAAGAATTGACAGATCTTCTCAACAACACTTCTTGTGTCCTAAAAGAAGGAAAAGCCAGAGCAATTATCTGATGAGGAAGGACAAGGAGAACAGAAGAAAGGAGCTGTTGGAGGTGGGCGAGGAATAGAATCATGACGCACCAGAGGCAGAACGATTTGACATAGATCACAAGGAGAAAGAAAGAAAGCAAAAAAGGAGAAACCCAAGGCCTGAAGTCTGTACATAATACAAAGATGAGAAGGACTTCTCAGGGTGGTGGTTGGGCACAGCGCACCTTAGAAAGAGGATCCAGGTCTTTCATGGCCACTCTTAGAAACACAGATGAGCAACAAAACCTTAAGCAAGGAAAGGCCCGGTAAGAACTTGAGAAATATTGGTACTTTCACCAAAAATTATTGTTTCCCATAAATAATGTTTGGGAAACATAATGCACTTATAAGATCTATAGTATGAGATCTCAGTAATTACTACTTGGTATATATTACTCAGATTATGATAAGAACATCAGTCTGCGTAAGAAGGAAGATAGTGCTGTGTTACTGTATTCTGTTGCACGATCCCACATGCATGACCAAGAAGATACAATGTGGCAAGAAATAAAAATGAGTCTCTTTCTGAGAATTACAGTGAGAATTACTGGAGGGCTGGTACCTGCACTTTTGGGTGATTAGCTTAGGATTCAAGTCTTCTCAGTAAAGACAGAATGCATCAAACCTAGAGGGGTAGGGCCAGGTATGTGGCTCAGTGGTTCTGCCACCTGCCTCATAAGCACAAGGACACCGGTTCAATCCCTGGTACCAAAACAATAAAAATAAACCTAGAGGGCTGTACTAAAGTTATCTGAGAAGGTGATGATGGGTGGCTTTGTTTCTCTCCTGGAGAATAAGGGCTCTGCCCATGTTATTTTCTCTTTGCCAGTCATCTAGTGCAATGGTTTTACTTTCATTTACAAAAATCTGAAGTTTTACATTTCAGCCTTTGAATATATACATATATATATTAATATACAGTAACTTTAGAAATTCACAAAGTACAGTATGGCATATTAATATATATGCAATGTGTAATTATTGGGTTTGGGTAATTCTCAGATCTTTCATGTCAGACCTACCTCATCTGATTGTACAAATACCTTGCTACTAGGTCTTTCGAAAAATACAGTTAACTGCTGTCAACCAGAGTCTTCCTACTATGCTACAGATCTCTAGAAGGCCTTCCGCCTGCCCAGCAGCTCCTCTGTGCCCACATTCGAGTTTCCTGAATCATCTGATGTGCCTCCCTGTCCTCTAGCACTTCACCTCTCTGAGTGTCCGCACAAACTCACTTCCTGCCTTCCCCTCTCCTCTCCTGGTGAAGTGGAAATTGCATCTGGACTCATTGCCGGAGCTCATCCGGTCATCGGCAGCACTACAAGCCCTGCCCGCAGAAACTATCCCACCACCATGAAGCATCCCACTGCCTCTGTGCACAGAAAAACCCTCTTACAGGTTGTGAATCGAAACAAAGAGGAAAACCTGAGGAAATCACAAACCATAATTACGGGAGAACCAGAATGAGGGGAGCAAAGACCAGAGTGGTAACTCACTCTTACTGAATTTTCATGGGAAAGAGCGTATCAGAGGGTGTGCAGGTGGTGAGGAGAGGGTGTGTGCCCGCGTTCAGGATGCTGGTTACCTTTGTCAGCTCTTCGTAACTCACCACCAGGAAATTTTCACACTGTCTCCTGGACAGCCAGCCACGAATGTGCTCGAACCAGGATCCATATACCACTGCACGGGGGATGGAGAAGTTGTGACAGATTACAAACTTAGAAATTAAGGGTACTGTGTGTGAACTTTAGTTTTCCCAAGTGTGCCATTTTATTAAGTACAGTTCACAAGTTAATCTTGTATGTATTTTTAGTGTACACCACGGTTTGATATGTACATATAAATTATTGTGATATATAAAACACGAAGGTCATGAGATACTGGTTTTTCTAACCAGTAATGGAAAAAGGAGTCAACAACTAAACCTCAATAATTGTGTCTGATGGTTTCGCTCAACTTTTGGTCTCCAGCTGCATCCACTTTCCTACAAGTGACTGAAACGTAACCTTGTGCGTGGCAGAGAAGTATTCCATCCCGTATAGATACTATATTTTCTTTATTCGTTAATCTACTGATGGAAAAATAGGCTCCTTCCAAGATTTAGCTGCTTTAAGCAGTGCTGCTATAAATATAAGCACAGATGTATCACTGTGATGTTTTTAACTTTCTGGAAGGTCTCTAAAAGCTGAATCTTTGAGGCACATGGAATTTCTCTTTCTAATTTATTTATTTTGTTTTTATTGGTACATTTTTGCAGTTATCTTGATGTATGGAAACGCGTACACAGTACAACTTTTGAAAATCCCTTCCCTTCCCACCTCCCTATTCTTCTATGCCCTTTCCTCATTTTCATTCATGTTGATATTAGTAATCTGAGCTCATATTACGGCATTCAATGTTTACACTCCTGAGGTTATTTGGTTACCGTACATGGCTTATCTTTATTCTACTAATTTGTTTTTCCCCTGGGCCTTGCTCTTCCTTGATCTCTTGGACCTCTGCTCTTGGATCCACCCCTCTGTTTCCTCCTATCCTTCATTGATTATTCCTTTGTTTGTACTGTGACTTATGGAAATGAGATTTAGCATGCGGAATTTAAGCTTGTCTATTTTTATTAACTCAAAATTACATTTTCAAGGTGTATCTATTTTCCTACAGATATCTCTAATTTTTCTTACTGGATTTCTGTGTAACATCCCATTATGTATAGATACCAAGTTTGATGTATCCAACCATCTCTTGAAGGATATACAGGCTGCTTCCAGCATTTAGCTTTCATGAATCGCGCTACTGGAAACACTGCTGTGCGTGTATTGCTGTAGTGGGATGTCTTGAGTTCTTCAGGGAAAAAAACCAAAAACCAGGACAGCCAAGTCCTATGGAAGTTCTCATGTTAGTTCTTTGAGAAATCTTCATACTGATTTCCATAACGGTTGTACTGCTATACATTCCCACCAACAATGTAGGAGGATTCCTTTCTCAGCACAGCCTCATCAGCATGTTATTTTTTGATTTCTTGATGATCACTATTTTTTCTGGAATCTTAGTTATGCTTTGACATTCATTTCTGTAATGGTCAAAGATGTTGAACATTTTTTTCCTATATTTATTGTCCATTTAGACATCTAAATGCCATTTAATGGGCATTTAGAGGTTTCAAACGCACAAATAGAATTCAGTTTCCATGTATTCTACCCGAGATTCTTGTAAAAAGGACACATGAAGTGTTTGGCCCTATAGTTCTGCTTGACATCTCGTCTAAATTTAACACCAACACCACACTTGGACTTTCCAGGTGTCCCAAAGTGCACTGGACACCATGGGTCATGGTCACGCCCTTGGCTCTCTGCTGGGAACGTAGCAGTCAAACCCGTGGTTGGTGTGGTCATGATTCCAGGGAGCGTTGTTATACACTGAGAGGCTCTCAACTGATTCTTTTGACAGAGCCTCAGTGTAGACAATGGCATCTGTGCCTCAGTCCTCCGGGGAGTACAGCTTCAGGTGCCCTTGGAAGTACTGTGCTACAGGCACGACCTGGGCCCTCAATGACCAAAACCAGCCAGGGATGCTGCCCAGGAAGTCTGCACAAGTTGATGGGGTGCAGGTGAATACCCGCAGTTGAAAAGTGTCAGTTTTCCTCAAAAGGACACCACTTTCTCAGTATCTCATCCTCAACGTGCAATTCTTATCACCCACTGTGACACGAACTTGAATACAAGAGTAAACGCCTTTATCGGCATGGAGTTCAGTAGTTCCTTTCAATGCATTCTTGAAAGGTTTCAACATCATGGGATGGAGATGTGGTGCTACCTAAACCACTTGTATGGCTGTCCTGGTGATTTTGCATTTAGCTTTTCAAGTTCTGGTTCAGGAGAGTTAATATCATTCAAATCACATAAAGTCCTAGCACTTTCATAGCCATCTTTAATAACACACACAGTTCACGTTCACGGTGCCTATGTGTTTTTGATGAGATAGACTTCTTTTCAAACAAACAATAAATAGTGTTGACTGAGTAACTTTATAATTGAAATGCCTCTCATAGAGTCAATCCAAAAAGTATTAAACTTTCTGGATAGGGACAGGATACATCCAAAAAATCTCTCTCTCTTTTTTTTTTTCCAGTCATACCCTGGTCCATAGTGGGAGTCACAGCGTTGGTTCCGTTTCCGATCCACACCACAATTACTGCAAAGTATGCGGATGACACTCCAGGGATAAGGGAAGGCAGACTTCCTATATCTAGGGAAGACAAGCTGCATAAATGTCTTCAGCATCTTCAATACTTTTTCCCTTCAAAACAAGAAGTTCTTGAAGACTCTGGCTATGCCAGCTTTGGACCAACTGAATAGATGGCGTCCTATAAAGATTACCTGCAAGGAGATTCATTTATTTGCCAACTTGACAGGCAACTCTTGCTGAAGAAACAAAAATGAGGTTTTTTTTTCACAAGCATTCACTGATCCAAAGTCCAGGAACTGCTTCATGGAGAGTTATGATGCTGAAAAGTGCAAGTAGAAGTCCCAGAATGCTGCTGTCCCACGAGGCCCCGAGCCCTGTCTGAGGTAAGGCTGTGGCTATTGCTGGGGTAACAATGCGTGGCCAGGTAGAGGCACCGTGTAAGCTTCATTCTGAGCCCACTGGAGGAACAGAGCCCCAATAATTTCTTGTCTTGCCTGGGGGATTCACTGTATTGTGGAGAGTTGTTTTGAAATTGTTGGCTGCATTTTATTTTTCTAAAATGTCCTTTAGAAGTTTTTGGTGTGTTGATTTAGTGGTCATGAATTTTATACGGTGTCTTTTATTATGGAAGTATTAGATGTTCTCCATTAATTTTTCAAGATAACTTTGAGGAGTGCATCAGTCTTGTTTGGAGAGCTGTGTTTAGGGCTTGAAATATTTCACTCCAAGCTCTCTTTGACTTAAGGGTTTGTGCTGAGAAGTCTGCTGTGATTCTGATAGATTTTCCTTTATAGCTAATTTATTTCTTTTCTCTAACTCTTTTTAGGATTCTGTTCTTGTGTTGAAGTTGTGGCATCCTTTTATATCACTTGGCATAGTTTTTTTTTTTCTAAACCTGATTATTTGTAGTTCTATGGTCATGCTTATCTGTATCTCAAGTGCTTTTTCCATACTTGGAAAGTTTTCTGCTGTTACTTCTGTAAAGAGATTTATTTGTGAGCCCTTTGTGCTATCTTCTGATGCTTCAGTGATTCCAATTAATCTTATATTAGCCTACTTTGCTTTGTCTAGCAGTTATTTGACTGAGTTTTTGAATTGTTTATTGGTACATTTAATGTATAAAATATAATGACATTCATTGTTGGAAATTTGTACCTTTACATAAACAATCTTGGTTCTTCTTTTTTCCCCATTCCCTTGCCTTCCCTTCAATCCTTCCCTCCTTACCTATCTACAAAGACTTAGTTTCATTATTTTTCATTTTCTTATATTAATTCCATTCCCTTCTCTCCTTTCTCTTACCCCTCCTTTTCCCCTTCCCCTTTGTCCCTTTTCTTCCTATTTCACATTATCTATTATAACTTTTGGTTCACACTTTTAGTTTCTCACACTAGAGAAACTAGTCAGTATTTACACACGTGTGTCCTATTTATATTACTTGAGTATCATCTCAATATGCATCCATTTAGCTATAAATGTCTCTAGTTTCTCATTCTTTATGGCTGAGTAGTTTATTAGAACACACACACACACACACACACACACACACACACACACACACACACACTTCTTTATCCAGTCTCCTGTTGATGAACACTTGGGCCACTTCCAAATTTTAGCTATCATGAACTGTGCTGCTATGAAAATGAGTTCACATGTATCACTGTGGCATGATTCTTTTAATTCTATTGGGAAGATACCCAGCAGAGGAATAGCTGGGTCAAAATGGGACTTCCAATCCTAGTTCTCTGAGGTATCTCATACTGGTTTCCACAGTGGTTGGACCAGTCTACACTTCCACCAGCAAGGGGCACTGCTCCTCTCCCCCACAGTCCCACCAGCATTTGTTATTGGTGATTGCACGGTAGCAGCCATTCTTTCTGGGGTGAGGGGGAATCTCATCATTGTTTTCCTTTGCATCTCTCAAATGACCAGTGATGCTCAACATTTCTTCATATGTTTATTTGCTAGTTCTACTTCTTTGTCTGAGAAATGCCTGTTCATCTCAGATGCCCATTTATGGATTGGGTCTTTAAATTTGGGAGGTCTGAATTTTTTAAGTTCTTTATATATTCTGGATAGTAGACCTTTGTCTGAAGAAGAGCTGGTGAAATTTTTTTTTCCCACATTGTGAGTTGTCTCTTCACACTGTTGCTGTGCAGAAGCTTTTTAATAAGAAGACATCCCACTTGTTGATTGTGCTACTTCATGAGCAACTGAGATTTTGTTCATAAAATCTTTTTCTACACCGATGTCGTCAAGAGTTCTACCTAACCTCTCTTCCAGACTGTTTAGTGTTTCTGTTTTATTATTAAGATTTTTAATCCATTTTGGTTTTAATTTAGTGACTGAGTTTTTGTATGACCCTGCAGTTTCTAAAAAGCCTACCATTTGATGATCGCCAACCACAAGCCTATCTTCTAGATCTGATATTCTATCTTCACATTGGTTGACTCTCCTACTTATCCTTTCAATAAAAGTTTTGTTCTCCTGGATTTCCATTTGAGTCTGTTTTATGGAATCCAATTCTTTTTTGTCAGGCACTCGTGGTTTGCATGTCCTAAGATCCTCTGCTCTTCAAATTTGTATCTACTCTATGCTCACTACTCATTTCCTTTATTATGGTCATCATCCATTTTATTAGCTCTGTTTTGTTTTTGTCCAGAGACTTAATGAATTGTTTTATTTCTTCTGCTGCTACCATTTCAGAAAATTCAGCTGGTGGCTTTTGGTTTCTGCCTCCTCAATGCCACCTTGATTTGCCTTGGCTGATTGGGTATTATGGATTGCATCTTGTTTCATAGATTAATTTTGATTAGCACAGGTCTTCTTCGGACTTGGTCTTAAACACACAGCAAAATATACACCCCAATATAAAGTATCTATTGGAAATATAAAATGTGAAAACTATGGTGCATCTAAAAAGGGGCTCCAAACATGCCCCCAGCTACTACTGGCAGTGTCTAGTCACATCTGTAACATCTTAACCTAGAGCAATGTGAGGTCCAGATTTCCAGTTCCACTAGCTCTTCTAAAACTGTGTCCTCCTTCCTATGTTCCTGTATTACTGTTAAGATATTTTGATGTGCATTCAAATATTCCTCTGATGAAGATACTTTTTCTCCCACAGGGTCTTAAAAAACACAATACTTCTCAAAACTGGGGACAATTCTTTTCACCTGTAAATTGCTCCTCAATGCCTAGACCTCCATCCTCAATGAAGTGACACAATTAATATCTCTAACTTTCAAATGAATGCAAATGGTTTATATACTAGTCTACTCCACCAAATAGCCTCACTGACAGTGGGAACACACATCCCAGATCACCCTTCTCGAGAATACCACAAGAAAACATAAAACCCCAACCCCAGACCATGTTGTGTCTCTGTCTTGACCCACCCATATTCTACTTTTCCTGAGTGTGTAGTGTAAAAATTCTGCTCAGTAAACTTTTTTTTGCCCTTTACTTATGCATCTTACAATTACTTTTTTAAATCATACAAGTCAGAAACTTGCAATTTCTTCTATGGATGGTGAGTTAAGATCGCAACTTCCTCTTTGGAGGATCTTTCTGGTCCCTATCTGGCAACGGTACTGGTGGAGATAAATCTGTAGTGCTATCTTGGGAATTTTTCCTTATGGAGCTTGGGAGGCACATCACAGTGGAGATGCGGGACTCTTCACAAACCATTGTGTTTCATTTTTTTGTTAGTGGGGGGAGACAGGGTTTCACTTTGTAATTCAGGTTGATCTTGAAACCACTATGTAGTCTAGGTGGGCCTTGAATTTGTGGTGATTTTCCTGCCTCAGCCTCCTGTGTGCTACAAGTACAGGCATTTTCTACTGCACCTGGTTCTTCCTTCATGTGATTTTGAGAAAAGTTGCAAAATTAAAAGTACCCAAGAAAGTCCAGAAATTCTACTCATTACATATACAGTTTCTAGTGTCATACTATTTTGTACACTGATAGAGAAGACTGTAATAGTTTTTGGAGAGAGGCGTTGTTATGGAAATGGTGGAAAGGATTTTACATTCTGGTAAATAAATAAAAACTTGACCTCAAAAAAGTCATAAATTAGGAGGGTAGAGGGGCATGAGTAGTTTATGTCAGCACTAAACATTGTGGGGACTCAGAAAAGAGAAGGGAGCAAGCTGAGGTTGGTCTGGAGCCCTGTGCTGGGCAGGAGAGCAGGGACACTTAGCAGATCTGTGCTCCAGGGAGAGGGGAGCCTCGGACTGCTGAGCAGTGGAGAGTCAAGGGCAGCCCAGGAGGTCTGAGAAAGACTGATTTTCTGCACAGCACTCACCATTTCCTTGGAGGAACCACTCCAGATATTGTTGCTGTGTCTCTGGTTTTTTAGCAACATTCAACTTTTGCATGAAAAAATAACTGGACACAAAAACATCTCTGGGATTCCTCATGCCATAAATCACCTTAAATAAAAAAATGAGTAAGTGGATAATCAGGAGAGTCATTTTCCACTTGATCTGGGTCTCACCCAGGCAATATGTACAAAGTGCCTGTTAAATATCATGGCTTATATTAATGAATTACTTAGAACACTCATTAATCAAAAATACATTTTAACATTTTGTGCACTAGCTATTGTAATGGAAACATAATAAAAAGGAGGAATGGCTGTGTCTTCCTCCTGAAATGTCAATCAGCTTAATGAAGGAATCCACTGAGCAGTTTTAAACTGTAAATAGTATGATAAATCCATTATTTACAAAAATGATCACTAACAGGAAAATCAATAAATAAATTCTGCTTATTCATAGGCGCATAGCACTGCACAGTTGTACACATCTCCAAGCCATAGATGAATCTTAAGGTCTTTACACTGAGTACAGAAGTCAGACATCTCATTTCATACAAGTCGATGTATGTGAAATTCAAGGACCAACAAAGTAATCCATAGTAATAATCCAGGAGAGGGATTGCCCCTGGGGTTGTTCACTGACAGGGGGACGCTTCAAGGGCCACAAATGTCCTCAGTGTTGTGTGGATCACAGTTTGCCAGTTGTGTACTTATGTAAATATTTGTGAAACTAGAATTTGACATTCATGTGTGTTTATTCTCACATCCCCACCCGCAAAGTTCACTTGGCAGTGAAAACACCTTCATTTCTTAATAAGTCCCTTTGGGTCATTATTCCATTATTTTGGCCCCATCTCTCTACATTAGTCTTGAATTTGACAGGCAGGGATTCACCAAATCCCTAAAATGCCAATGTGTACATTGGATCACATCACTGTGCAGTACAAGTGTGGCTTTTACTAAAGAAGGGATTATTTTCTAGGGTTTTCAATATAGTTTAAGTAAACTATTTATATTCACAACACACGATAAACCCTGCAGGAGAGAATATTTGTAAAAATGGTGCATGGGGTGCTAGAATCCGGATCTACCTGCTCCCTAAGGGGATGACCTAGCAGCCACCCGGGGAGTTCCGATGCTTAGCTCAGCACACAGCTCTAGGCAGCAGGACATAGTGGTTAGAACAGCCAGCCTCGACCCCAGAGCAGTCTCTGGGCCTTAGGCAAGTTCTGAATCTGCTGCTTCCCGTGTGGACAACTCAGACGTGGAAGTTGACACATGCATTGGCGAAGGATCTTATTGATTAGGATTCTCCAATCACCTTGGAGTGCAACAAGAAAATGTGGGAAATCTCCTGTCCCATACAGCCATAAATCCTGGTTGACCTCAAAATGGGGGTTTCTAAGATATGGCATTTCTTCTTCCACTTTACCCTCAAACAGGCCTAGACAATAGGTAGAGTGGTCCACATACTTTTACTCAAGTACGGCCTGAGGGTTGGGTACATCAGCATTAGCTAACCCAGGAGAGTCTCAGGTCCCACCCAGATCTACCTCATGAAGATCTTTTTCAGTTCAACTCCAGGAGAAATTTAAGCAAATGCAAGTTTAAAAGTATTGAAGAAACACTTCTCAACCATTAGGTACTGACCTTGGCCTTGGAATGGAAAAAGGACTTGGGGAAGAGTTGAATGGGCAGGTGAGATGTGAAAATGCGTGGTCCCTC